CACCTCCGCCAGCGCGCGCCCTGGGTCGCGCTTACCGGGCGCAGCCAGGCGCCTCCCGCGCCTCCCCCTCGCCCTCCCAAGCAGCCGCCGGGCCGGGCTCTTCACAACGCAGCGGACTCTTCTTGCCTGCTGGAAGGAACGGGCAAGCAGCTCATTCCTGTGCTGTGAATACTACCTTTGTGAACACCCTGCAGTCTCCTGCGCGGGGGCAGAAAAAAACACAAAGGGGATTAATTTCTTGACTAGATGGAAATTGGACGCTAACGCAGTACCGTGGAATTTAATAACACCCTCCAAATTTACCTTCTCATGAGAAAAACATAAAAGTCTGAAACTTCAAAAAGCTTTCTGCAATAATATGACGAGCCATAAGGCTCAAGGTTTTATCTTTGAATGAGTGAGATCAAAATTAAGATTGCATTAGGAAACAGACACAGGTCTTCCTAAAAGCACTGGTAACCAAATCCCAAAGGCATCCACTTTTGCAGTACACCACATCAAAAACCTAGCCCAAAGACATCGAGTCCTTTACAATTCTTTTATCTAGCAGACAACAGCTGACTGTTCGTTCCCTTTTGCGTCCAGGCACCACGGTAAGCACCAGCGTTGAGGAAGTGCCAGCCGCTCACCTGCGCGCCAGCGTGCACCGGGCAGTGAATGGCCTTAGAGGACGGATGTACGTGCATTTCTTCACACCTCTGTTTATCTGGATTGGATTTGCACCAGTGGTATTTTTCATCCAGATACCCGTGTTCCTCCCTATGGTTCATTAAGGAAAATACACAAACGTACAAGAATTGCCCTTTTATCATTAAGACCAGCTAACATCAAATATCTCAAAACATACCAGTCCTCTGCAATAGACAGATGTGGAAAAACCTGCCTCATGAATGCGTTATCTTAAACTTGTCACTGGTTTATTTCATAATGTGTCTTTATTTTTCCCAAATCCATTTACAGTAAATGCTTCTAACCAGAAAATGCATGTTTTCGAACAAAGGTACTAAATTCCTCCCTGACTCTCAGTAAATAATGGAATTAATGCCCTACAGTAGTAAGTACACAGTCCAAAAAACTTGTTTCATTTAACAGAAAGCAAATTAAATATGGGTAGTGTCTCAGTTCAATTTCTTGTTCTTCTCTTGCAGGAAGAGCAACTTTTTATCTATCTCCGTTATATCACTTGTTATCATGTTTCTTCTTACTCAATCCATCCTAAGGCAAACAAGCACAGTACACACTTTTCAAGAGGAGACCAATAACGCCCACATGCAGATGATAACCTTTGCTTTGAAAGCCTATCAATCACTTCACAGAACACAATACTATTGAGTATGCCAGCCCAGTATTTGGTGTTAACCTTTATCTAGTGTCCAGAGAGCCTCAAGCTCCATCAGTACTTATTCAGAATTGAATAAGACATGACAAAATTAGTCCCTAATATTTTTTCAGGATGGATCTGTGGAACAAAAAGAGAAGATGCTGTATCAGGTACGATCATCTGACAGACCACACCCACCCTAGTCATAATCCTTCTCATAGCAAAGTTCCTTTTATAAGTTTCTTTAGAGGTCAGTGGGCAGCACTTTGTAGCTAATACTATGGCTGAGGCAAGAGCCCAGAAATCCGAGCATTCCTGTTCTACTTGTAAGTACACAAAGCATCGTCACAATGCCTAAGATAGAAATTAGAACAGAAGTCACAAAGGGTATAGGTGGTGATGAAAGTAGCCTCAAAAATTTTAGCAACTTCATTCAAGAAAGAGATGCTAATTTTCCCAATACTCTCCCTGACTCAGACAGCTGGATGAGCTGTAGCAGGACTATTTGAGCAGGTTCTCATGCATACACAGCAGTCACTTCAGTCTTACAAAGTTATTTTTATTATCAATTGTTTTAATAAAAAGCCTGCTTTACATATAGTAAAGCTACAGTTAACAAAAGTCACTTTTTCTTTTTTTCACCTCATTTTCTGAAATGATGTAGAAGGAATAGCGCGCTTAGAAGAGCCAGATTCTTCCTCGTTCTCATGGAGGCGCTTTCTAGTTGTGGTTGGCTAAAAGAAAGATGCAGCAGAATGGTTATACTAATCAGATAAGACGGAGCCTGTCACGTCTGCTATAAAATTACAGATTTCGGATAAAGTCTCCTTCCTGTAACCAAAAGAGCAACACGACTAACAAATATTTCTCTATGACCTACCTAATCGTGTAAGAAGGATCATATATAATACACTGTCTTTCATTCCCTGTCCTGCCTCCACTGCCCTCAGTCTTTTAACAAAATCAGCATTATCTTTCACTACTGTTTAAAATTTTCCTAACTAGTGTCTAGTGACAAATGTCACAATACCACTTCTAAACTTTCGCTAACATAAGAAATTTTTTCCTTGGATGTTAAGCATCCATGACTTGAATCCATCAAAATATATATATATTCATGTAGTTAGTTTTAAATATATGAAGAAGCCTTTAATGCCTAGGAGACTCTTTCTGTATGTTTAAGCTAAGCGTCTTGCCAAAGCATAAAAGTCCATTGCTTTTATTCAGAAAGCAGAGATCGCATATGGAGCAGGCCGCTACATACAGCCAGGATGCACACTTCTACACTGAGTTCTCAAAATTATTTGATTTTCTTATTACGGACTACTTTCAAATCTAGTTTCTCTACACATCAAGCATTAATCTTCAAATAATCTGTTATACGTACCATCTTTGATGTTTGTGGTGGATTCATAGTGGCACTTGCTTGAGCAAGTAACTGTTGAAATGTACTCTTCATATCCTCATCCTGTGAAAAAGGTGGCAACTCTAAGTAGTATAGGGAATATTCAAAGGAAAAGTCTACATTTTGTTTAATCATGTGTATCAGCAATTAAGGATCTTCAAAGTACATTGCCAGGATACCGAGCAACTACATATACTGAAGATCAGGGCTAGGCACCAAAGACTTAACTGCTGCAAGAAAACTGACATATTGCTAAAGAAAACTCATCTAATCTACTTCAATTTTGATGATGATATGAAAATTGAAAGATTTCATTTGAGCACAATTGTCTCAAATTGTGCATGAAGAACATTGAAAACACATTTATATTAATGCAGAATTAAAGGTAGGTGTTATCACACAAGCAATTATTTCTAGTTCAGCCCTCAAAATAGAGGAGAAAAAAGTTCCTTATTAGAGTATTAACACAAATTAAAAGCACAAATTAAAATGAAAACAAACCATATAGCAGTAGGAGAAAGGATCTGTAATACTAGTCTCAGATTGCGATGGATCACTGCAACACAGGTTACAATCCGTTCATTAGTCTAAGGCTTAAGAAACCAGTCCTTGTGAAAAGAAGTGCTGACTCCATCCTGAATTGAACACTACTGATATAACACTACTTTTGTGGCTATTAGACTAAGCATGATCAGCTGAAGATCAGCTCAAGCTCACTGCTGGTCCTCTGAATCATCTGCTTTATTCTCCAGGGAAAATTTGGAGCATATATAATTTCTAGAAAATAATGTGCTAGCTAACAGACATTTTCAGGAATAAACACTCTCAAGGACCTTCAACAGTAATGGTCAGCCTTTAATATAACCTCCCTCCCTCCCACTTCCCCCAAAATAAACACCTTCCTAGTCTGCCCCACAGTAGAATTTTGAGCAGGTCATTTGTGTATACTGCTGTTAAGAAAAAATAATTCTATTTTATTCTACTAAGAGAGTTTCCCTCAATAACTACTACTTACCTACTAGCCAAGCTAAAACTGAACTTGCGTTATCATGCAGCTAAGCATAATAACACTGAAACAACAGAACATAGGCTAAGAGTTTGTGAAGACAATTAATTAGCCAAAACCTTATCAGAAGAGGCCTTATCAGCTCTTGCGGCCTGGTTTCATCAAAGTAGAGCTAATTGCTCTTGAAAGATCGCTTTGCTTATAGTCTCACATTCTGTCCTCATAATGACTTCCCATTCTAACAGAGGATTTTCATTTCCACTAGCTCGGCTTCATCAGTATCTCAAACGTAGGTCGTTTTCATCTTCCCAAGGAAAAAAGTTGTATATAACAAGTAGAGAAGAATCAACTAAAACACCTAGAGCCTACAAAAAATCTTTCAAACAAAATGTTATCTTACAAAAATACCCTACAGTTACACCTAACATCAATAAGTTCATATAACATATTAAAGGTCGTAAACGGAGACATTTGTACGGCAAATACTCAGGTTTGGGACAAGCATCTGCTGAAGTAAAGTTTCCCTCTTAAAAAACCCTAAATGATTATCAACAAACATCATTCATAGAGCATTCATACTGCTACAGTAGTCCACTGGATAGTACAGTTCATTCTCTGTTTACCAGGTCAGATCAAAAATGGTAAGCCAGAAGATGCCTTTAGTGGAGGGAGAACAACTGGGAGAGATGCACTTGGAAAGGAGTGGACTTAAGGATTACTAGTCCCAGTCGGCAGAAACAGGCGCGGTTGCAAAAACATTAAGAGGCAGGAAAGGCAGCACAGATCATTTGTTGAGAGCAGCAAGTTTAGTAGAAATTCAGAAGAGTTTCAAGAGAAAGAGTTAGCATACAGCCCCAATTCTGGTTCAGCA